ATGTTTACTGATAAACTGCCATGGTTACGAGGTCAGTCCTAGGGACTGAGCCTGGCTTGAAAGAGATAAATTAATTTCATTTCTTTGCACACACACTGTTTTAAAATTTCTTATTTTTCTGAAACTATTAGAAATGTTAGATTTATAGCATGTTTGTGAGTTAAGCCAATGCATAGTTCTCAGTAAATAGCATGTGTCACATTTTATAAGTTAGATTAATAACATGTTTGTGAGTTAAGCCAATGCATAGTTCTCAGTAAATAGCATGTGTCACATTTTATAAGTTAGATTAATAACATGTTTGTGAGTTAAGCCAATGCATAGTTATCTCAGTAAATGGTGTGTCACATTTTAGGAGTTAGATTTATAACATGTTTGTGAGTTAAACCAGTATATAATTATTTCTGTAAATGGTACGTGTCACATTTCATGAGTTAGATTTATAACATGTTTGTAAGTTAAACCAGTATATAATTATTTCTCTAAATGGTGCGTGTCATATTTCATGAGTATAAAATCTTATTTCATTCTTCTATTAACAATAATTTGTAAAATATTTTTACTTCCTTCAGAAATAACAAAGATGTAATATGATTGTGGGTGACTTCATTTGTGGTAATGTTTCATATATGACACAGTATTTCTCTTCTGTTATTTTTAGATTATTTTAAACAGTTAATCATTTTAATTGTTGTTTATTCATAGTTAGATACTAACTATTTGATATAGAGAAATTGTCTTACCCATTGTTAAACATCGGTAATTTGGAAAGAAAAGATTTTCTACATCTTTGCATCATCTTGTTTAGATCTGTTTCACATCTGATGTATATTATCAATAACCTAAAGCTTTTAACAGGTGCATTTTTTAAATTGAAATGTTTGTTGAATTACTTTTTTTTTTCCATAGCATACAGAAGTTTTCAATTATCACATGTTACACACTTGAGTATAATTGAGATACATTGAAAGTGAGTGTTGAATTTAACTCTCTCGCATACTGCTATATATAATGTACATACATAAATTACCAATACTTTGATTGGTTGAGTTGAATTTTATCATATTTTTTAAGTAAACAGTATTAAAAATATTGCATAAGAAATATATATTTCGTATGTTTGGATGTATACATAGACGTAAATATATATTTTTATGTATACATAGAATAGACGAAAATAAAAAATACTTTGTAGTATCCATGCATTTCATGTTAAGTGTTTTATTTTGCTAAAGGACTTCTGCACATTTGATGACTATAACTGGGATTGGACGTTGCAGCATGTCAGTTTCTCTTGTCTACCTAGTCCTCTTAACGTTATGGTTACAGTTTCTTCTCGTGTACTGCACATTGGCGAATGGTATGTTAAAATCTATCTATCATGACACTACTTCTCAGAATTCTCATGCTAAGGTTAAGTTTTGAAAGTACCTCAAGTTTTTGGTGTTTCTATAAGCACTTTGTTTTATTTTTAAAATGGTTTTTGATTTTTTAAATTTCAAACGTAATACTATTTTTTTATAGTTTTTATTATAATTGTATATAATTTCCTCTACCGAGCAAATATCACTACATCAAGAAGACGTAAAGTATAGTAGGCTAGCCTAGATATAGATAGTTCTAGGTTTGGACCTAAGTGGTCAAAAGCATAAATATCAAATATGGGTCACGTATTTAGTTATGATTTCTTTTAGGCCTAGCCATAAATCCAGCATTACGATTACATAAATCCATAAATCGTACACTACCACATATCTAGTTATGATTTCTTTTAGGCCTAGCTATAAATTCAGTGCTAGGTTTACATAAATCCACGAATCATACACTTGGGAAGTTTTTCTTTCACTGTAGCAATGATACAAAACATCTTCAACTTTCAAGTCTCAGTCATTATTTCTAAAACCTATATGTATATCTTCTGATTGACAAAAGTAAACAAAATATTAAAAAGGAACATAATATAAGACGAGCTATAAGTTATATCAAGAGATGTTTACTTTTGTTACACAACCTAAGTGATGGTTGGTGTACTTGTGATTGGTGCATTTGTTCCATGTTTTTTTTTGCCTTTATCTCTGTTCTATCGAGTTGTATCTGACGTCCAAGGCCAAAATTTAAAAACCATTAAAACATTTTTTGAGGATTAAAGAAAATGTTTGTATGGTGTGAAATATTCTTTCACAAAGAAATGTCTATAAACAATCTCAGAAAAACACAATCCATTTTAGATAGCTTTTATTAGTTTTTACTTTCCATGCTTAAAAGATATAAAGGTGTCTCTTATCAATATTGACTGATATTTATATAATATATCTTTTTAGTTTGTGCTTTTCTCTGTATTGCATGTCTTTAATAAGAAGACTCTTGTTTCAGTGGCGTACATCACAAAGGTAAGGACTGCAGCAGTGAACGAGTAGTGCGACGTGCTGAAAGCATTTTGTCAGCAGCTAGACGATATCTGTTCCCCACGAGCCTTTCACTGCATCAGGGACTGAGACGAACCCTTCGAGTGCCAAAAGGAAATGGTGGCTGGGGAGATATTCGAGACCATAAATTATGTCTTCAGCAAGCTGATAAGAACTATACTTTAATATCACCCAGATAGTAGTAACTAGGCTTACGGTCATTCCATGTTACTAAAATTTGTTTTGTTTATGTTTACAATGATACATGTAAATGGTGTGCCTTCAAGTCATACATGTACATTTAGTATGGGTGTTTCTGTATGCATGTTTCACACATATATATATATGTATGTATGTGTGTGTATTTGTTATAACCATAATAAACATGTATACCTGAGTTTTGCATATTTTTTTTTCAAAACATTTTGTATTGCATGAGACCTGTGGTAATGGATATTAGACTGCTGTTTGGATAGTTACTTGTGAATGATATCCTTAGATTAGATTTGTTTATATGTAAAGTACAATGAAAAAATTATAATGTTTCATAGTAGACTCGTGTAATAGGACTTTTTAATAAGGTTTGTTGTTTTTAATGTATAAAGACTGTTGAATTGCTTATCTACTGAATTTTTGGTGAAGGTTGATAAATGGAACACTAGGTAATAATTTGTAATATCTGTGGTAGGATTAATATTATAAATTTACCTACAAGGGGTTTTTATTTAGGGAAATTCTGGGTCATGAATATCAATTTGAATATGATGCTGTTCCTTTTTTATAGACCATAATTTGTGGATTGATTTTTTTTTTTTAAATCTTTAATACAGGTATTTAAATTCATTGTTAGGTTAAGGTAGCAGACTTTCTTACCGGTGCTAGCAAGATATTTTATGTGGGTTTGTTTTGGTACACAATGAAATGTTTTGGAAAACACTAGGTCTATTCAGCAAAATATTTTACTCAGGTGTTTTGGAGAAATATTAGGTATACCTGTGTTTTAGTCGGGTTTGTTTTGGGAAACAGTGACATCTTTTGATCAAGTTTGTTTTTGTAAACATGTGTTAAATTAAGATTTTCCCAATTTTTTTGTATGTTGATATTTCAAACTTAAAGCATCAATGTAAAAACATATTTCCTAAAGTAACATATATGTATACAGAATCAATGTGATTTGTTTTTAATGTATTACTTTCAAAAACTGAAAACATGAACATGTTAGCAGGAAACGGAACATTGTATCAGAAAGTGTTAGTCATTGGTTCTTGTAAAGTTTTAAAGTTATAGAAACACAGGTTTTGTTAATATGTCAAAGTCAGTTTTATTTATTTTATATGTTTACCTTTACAGTATGTAATTTAGTGCCAATAAATCATTTGAATAGTTTAACTGTGTACATAATAAATGTTATCAAAGCTGACCAACCATTGTTGATATAATTTAAAATGTCTAGTGTTTAACTGGCCAGTAGATTACAAAATGTTAACTTCTCCAGAAATGTGCAAGACCTAATACCTCGAGTACTAGCTTATTTCTGTAGTCAAGCATAACGTGAATTAAGGTATTTGCCTATTTTGTTGGACAACTCATTTCTAAAGAAAATCTTAAAATATAGCATACCTTAAAAGTCACACTATAAATAAAATGCGTTAATTTTTTGGTTTAAAATGGCATTTACATTTCAATGAAATATTGGGTTCTGATAAATAGCCAAATTTTTTATGTTTAATTTATTTTAAAATGTGTATGTCATTGTATTCGAAATATGACCAAGAATTAACAAGGTATATCAAATTAACAACTTAGATAACATAAGCCTCAAGTTTATTGGAAGAAATAACTATACAAATACATTGTTTCACCAGACTATCTCATCATCATGTGTATCAGTCACCTCAAGGTGCCAGGTTAACCTGGTGAAAAAATGTATTTATATACTTCTTGTTTCTAATAAACTCAAAATTTATGCCACTTAAGTTGTTAATTTAATATTTTCTTGAGTTACCTCTCTTTATCTATTCAGTAACAAGCTGTTTTTTCTTGACAAATAATAAATCAGTAACAAGATGTTGCCAACTGAGCTGATGAACATGTGTGGATCATTTGGACTTGATTAGATTGTAGTATCCTAGAATTTATCTAAAGAGTGCCATTGAGTATTTACAGAGTTAATTCTATTATTGTCCATTAACTTCCTGTTAGTCGTGTCATGTTTTCACCTTTGGACATTAGTCAGCTAACTCTTTTTTTTTTTTTTTTTTTTTTT